AATAGTAATAACAAAAAAAAAAAAAATTTTTAACCCTGATTTTCGATTTTTAATGGGAATAAAAAATATTGTTTAATTGAAAGCAAAAATGCATATTAATTTTATGATAATAATCAATAACAAAATGATTTATTTTACTGCAATTATTATTAATTATTTTCAATTGTAATACTGCTTTCATCAAATTCATATCTTGCTGTAAGTCAATCGATATCAATTAACGAAAATTTTAATTAAAAAGTTATTCAATAGATAACCAAGAAACGTAAACATGAAATCACAATGACTTATCAAGTCGAATAACAATAATACTCCATGGAATGTAATTGGATGATAAGCAGGCACAGAAAGTACTAGAATGCCAACTTGATAATTGGCTTTTGCATAATTAATTGAAGCGCGATTGAAAAGCGTTACAATTTATTAATTTCAAGATGGTTCCAAGTACTCAAGTGCTTAACAAAGGCACGTGTGCGTGAGTATCTAGATGTGTGTGTGTGTGTGTGTCACTTACCGCTTCCAAGTCAAAGTCTTCCGGTATGTTAACCTCTGGACACTGGCCAGGGAAGGGTACCTGTGCTGTCACCAGGACTGCATTGATGGCCACAAAAGCCAGAAGCCAATATGACGAGCTGCAATCATGAATTACAGGTGAAGAGTCAGAGAAAAGGAATGTGTATATGTTCTATATAATCTCATATATATAGATGTCTATTTACCTGATAGATTTTTGCATTGTAATTGAAAACACTTGTTTAATTAAATTAATTATTATAGTATATTTATATTAGAACTGAAGGTTAGTATATTTACAGCTCGTTGTATTCTCTGTTGGCTCGTTCGTTGAACACTAAAAATTCATGCGGCTGCAGTGCATCATTTATAGATTCATCTTTGAAAGCTTTTAAATTTTTTTTTTTTTTTTTTTTGTTCTGTTGCTGATTGTTGGCCTCTGCGACTTCGCGAAGCTTTTTGCCACTTTTTGCGCCGGCGCTGCTTTGTTGTAAACAAATGAAAAGTGAAATTCTGACGATCCAAACGGAAGGGCTCAAAGCTCGCTGTGCGCTGCGGGGCAACAGGTGCGAGCTGTCGATGCTCTGCTCGCATTTCACTTGGCAGCACGCGACGCTTTTACTCGCCTTATCGCCAGTGGCATTATGCATTGAATCAACAACAACAATAATCATAATAATAATAATAAATGTATCAAGTGCAGCTCAATTAGATTACAATTCCTATATATACATATATTATAGTATATATAAGTCATGCATACGATTAAATCTTTGCGGTTATATGACAATCGTAAAGTCTCTAATCTTTCAAGTATTCGTAAGTTTATTCGTTGTAAGCTAATGCATTTTTTATTCCAGTCTATACTGTATTGAAACAGGGAAATATACTTAATAAACTGTTCCTTGGTCACTGAACTGAGTAATTTTCGATACAAGTTCATTATAGCTAACTTGAACTGAAAATAATTTTTTTTTTTTTTTTTTTTTTTTTTTTAATACTCAGATGCTGTAATTCTGGAAGTTTTGGTATAAAATAAAAAATATATAGCTCTAAAATAATATAATTTACAAAACATTAGTCATATAATATAATATGCTAAGATCTTAAAAATATACTAGTCTTAAATAAAAATAACCGAAGACGTATTTAAAAGTTAGTAAAATCACTAATCTATATTATTAACCTTTTAAATTTTTAAATAACCATTTCGAGCATAATGATAGTAAATTTGCTAAAATCTTCCAGAACACAAAATAAGTATAAGGCGAACAACCTTTGCTGTATTTATCTCACCTACACACATACACATACATACAAAATTATGAAAACAAACTAAAGCAATAACAATAACAACATTACATATAACTCCCCCTTCACACTCTTCGGTTAGCTTCCACACAGCGCAAAGCTTTTGTTCGCATGTGGAATGTGTTTGCAGCGCCATCTACCGGGAGCTCAACTCGCATGCACTGTGGCGCCATCTATGCAGGGCTTTGTGCTGCTGCAACTGCAGCACTACAATCACGAGTGAAATCCTTAATAGAGCCAGCTTGTGGTCGTCTTGGTCATTATTTATGGAAATCTCTGGAATACACACACCTGCATACACTCACACACACACACACACATACACGCATATGCGCGCACGGGAAAAATTGTTGTGTTGCGGTTATTTAAAAGAGAGAGAGAGAGACAGAGAGAGAAATAAAAAACATTTTCGTATTATTAAATTAATTAAATGTAAGCCACAAATTGAGTTTAATGTACAAAAATGCGCCCATGGCAAAGGACGAAGCGCTCTACAAGCCATTCACATATGGCCTAGGTAAAAACGTTTACACACACATATTTATTTAAGTGGGCAGCTTGAAGAATTGCGTTTTAAATTATATGATATTTATACGTATATAAAGTGATTTATATATTGGTGGTATTAATAAAGAAAGTTAGAAACAATATTTATGGATTCACTCTGTGAGGCATAACAAAATAAAATAAATTATCTAAAAATTTTCTCATGATAAAAATATACATATGAAATCAGAAAACAATAAATTTAATTATTTTCTATTGCAGATTTACTAAAAAATACGTTTTTTTTTATAAACTGATAAAAGGAAAAGAAAATTATACTAAAAGTAACTTAAATTAAGAAATAAAATTGCATAGAATTATTATTATTATTTTTTTGTTTTCTTTTTTTTT